TATGAATTGTGGACTTCAACTCCCAGAATTCCTCAGTCAGCGTGGCTCAGCTTGGAAACCTCTCCCTTTCCCCTCAGCATGGCTGGCTGAGGAATTCTGGGAGTTGAAGTCCACAATTCATAAAAGAGCCAAGGTTGCCTATCCCTGACCTAGAAGATAGATAGATAGATAGATAGATAGATAGATAGATAGATAGATAGATAGATAGATAGATAGATAGACAGACAGACAGACAGACAGACAGACAGACAGACAGACAGACAGACAGACAGACAGAGAGACCTAGGCCAGGGGTAGGTAACCTTGGCTCTTTTATGACTGGTGGACTTCAACTCCCAGAATTCCTGAGCCAGCCGTGCTGAGGGGAAAGGGAGAGGTTTCCAAGCTGAGCCACGCTGACTGAGGAATTCTGGGAGTTGAAGCCCACGAGTCATAAAAGAGCCAAGGTTGCCTACCCCTGACCCCTTCCTGACAGTGAGAACAATTAATCAGTGGAACTCCTTGCCTCCAGAAGTTGTGAATGCTCCAACACTGGAAGTTTTGAAGAAGAGATTGTACAACCATTTGTCTGAAACTGTATAAGGTATCCTGCCTGAGCAGGGGGTTAGACTAGATGACCTCCAAGGTCCCGTCCAACTCTTCTATTCTATTCTATTCTATTCTATTCTATTCTATTCTATTCTAATCAAGGTCACCATACGAACATTCAAAGTTCACGTGCAAGGGGCCCCATTTTCTATTCCACAGGAACCTTACCCGACTTGTAAAACTGAAATGCCGAACTCCGGGCATCCACTCCGACAGAAATTGGGCCAATTGTGGCCACCGCCTGCAGAAGTCCCTTTTCATCTCCTGGCAGGATGACTCCTATGGTGGAACACTTAGTAACAGAATTCTCAGCTTCATAACGACAACTATAATCATCCTGAAGAAAAATAAAAGAGTAATCATAGTTAGTCCCAGAGAAAATAGAGTTTCCTGCCTGAGTAGGGGGTTGGACTAGAAGACCTCCAAGGTCCCTTCCAACTATTCTATTCTATTCTATTCTATTCTATTCTATTCTATTCTATTCTATTCCACACCACTCTCCAGTCTACTCTGTTCAACCCAACCCAACCCAACTATAGTTTGAAGAACGCACAGGAACCCACAGAGAATTACCTGTCCATCATATGGGTAGCTTTCCTCTGAATTGATCCCTCCTTGCTTCTGCACATATGTAAAAGCATCTGACATAAATCCACCCTCGCAACCTTCAGTCCCCTGGTCCTTAGAACAGTCGATAAGATTTTGTTCGCTCAGCGAGACCAGCTTCTCCGTCTTCTTGAAATGCATGCCTTCCAGAGCGCCGGTGACACTGAAGGCCCAGCAGGAGCCACAGGCGCCCTGGGTAAAAAAGAAAGCTGCAATGATCCACCAAGGAACGGAAAACTCCATTTATCTTCCTTTAACCAGTTCCTTGTTCTCGGTTCTTGGTCGGAGGCAGCTGGGCAAAATCTCAGTTCCGACAGAAGAGAATATCTGTAGCTCAGGGTAGAACTGTGGGGTCCTGGG